GGCCCCGTCTCAAAAAAAAAAAAAAAAACAAAAAACTAAACAAGTAAATAAAATAATAAATAAATGTATCACCTGCCGTGCCATGATGTGGAATGCAGGTCTTCATTAGTATGGAGTGTAAACACATATGTTTAACTGCTGGTTAAAATCTCATTCCATCACTACACTGATTAAAGATAGTTTTCACTTCCTGAAGCCTATTCTCTGGATCTGCCCAAACATCTAATGGGAGAGAATCACAACAAACCATGAAAGCCAAGAGTCTCAGGCTGATACCCCATGGTCCTCTGGTTAATGCTGATGAGTCTTGCAAATCTGTGCACTTTGGGGCTCCTGGAAAGTCATAGTCGGTCATGGAACTTGGGAAAATGTTCTTCTAAGAGTTAAAGGTGAATTTGCTAGATTCACATGGGAGAGTCCAGTGATAGGGCATTTGGGCCGGACCCACCTCCCAAAGCTGCCCCTGATCTCAGTCTTGATTGTGCTATGGTGCCATGTACACATCTTTTCTCCCACTGAGACTACAGGCTGCTATGTCCCTTTCTTTTATATTTTCTATCTCTCTAAGCATTTGGCCACGCTCAATATAGCCAGCAGATGATTAAGAAATAAAGCAAATTCATAAAATAGATTAATCTAGGGGGTAAAAGAATTGCTCATTTTACAAAGAAATTCACTGAACAGTTCTTTCTTTCTTTGCTGCCCTCAGTAGAGTGCCGTGACATCACAGCTTACGGGAGCAACCTCAAATTCTTAGGCTCAAGCTATTCTCTTGCCTTAGTCTCTCAAGGAGCTGGGGCCACAGGCTCCCACCACAATACCCTGCTATTTTTAGAGATAAGGGTCTTGCTCTTGCTCAGGCAGGTCTTGAACTCCTGAGCTCAGGCAATCCACCAGCCTCAGCCTCCCAGAGTGCTAGGATTATAGGCAGGAGCCACTGTGCCCAGCCTCCACAGAAGAGTTTCTTTAGGAGATCTTCTAATACAGTGGTTCTCAACCTGTGTGTCATGACCCACAGAAACTGTATTAAAGGGCCACAGCATTAAGAAGGTTGAGAACAACTGTTCTAGTAGATATAAGAAATGGATTTAATTTAGGGAAAGATCTAACTCCGAGGTAATCCCTGACTTTTCCAGGAATTCATCTATTTTGCCAAGCTTTGGTAGGCTTATATTAACTGTCCTCACTATGAGTAAGTTCTAGCTTTCCCCAATGGAAAACAGCAAAACAGAGAACTCAAAACCAGTTGTACTGTGCAAACTCCCCTTACCCATAAGGAATCTAGACACAGACGAGAATTCTAGTTAAAGGCTCAGTGCTTATAGCACAGTGGTTACGGTGCCAGCCACATACACTGGAGCCTGGTGGGTTTGAACCCAGCCCAGGTCAGCTAAAACAACAATGACAACTGCAATAGAAAATAGCCGGGCATTGTGGCAGATGCCTGTGGTCCCAGCTACTTGGGAGGCTGAGGCAAGAGAATGGCTAAAGCCCAGGAGTTTGAGGTTGTTGTGAGCTATGATGCCACAGCACTCTACCAAGGGTCGACACAATGAGACTCTGTCTCAGAAAAAAAAAAAAGAGTTCTAGCTAAAGATACTTTCTAGATTGGATATCATGAAAAGTATGCAAAAAAAGAGACATTTTCTGGAAACCATAGCCAGAAATAGGATAGATTAAATGAAACCCTCTTGTTGTGCCCAAGGGTTTAGCAGTTGCCCAGATGCCCAAGAGTAGAGAGATTCAGCATCAAAGTAGACAGGGTTAGAGCCCAAGCAAAGCGTGCATGGGCTGGGCCCTCACCTCAGGGATCAGACGCCTCCTCTTC